TTTGTCATGGAACTGAATATGTTATAGATTGGTTTATATGAGTTAAACATTTAGGGTGTGTTTGGTAACGTTTACATTTTCAGTTTATATTTACAAAAATTTTATAAACAGGTTTTTGTTTATTTTTAGAAAAACATAAATTGCAAACGCGTTTGGTAATTGGAAAAATGCTTAAAAAATTTTAAAAATATAAAAAAGAGTGAGAAATGACAAGTGGTGGCGAGTGGCGGCGGAATACGGCGGTGGAAAGTGGTGACGGTGGGTGGTGGGTAGTGGGTAGCTGGTAGTGGCGGGTGGGTGGTGGTGGTGAGTGGGTGGGTGACGGTGGCGGGTGGTAGCGAGTGGGTGGTGGTGGTAATGGTGGTGGCGGCGGGTGGGGAGTGCCAGGTGGGTGGCGGATTGCGGGTGGTGGTGGGTGGTGATGGGTGGGTGGTGATTGTGGCGGGTGGGTAGGTGACGGTGGCGGGTGATGGGTGGTGGTGGCAGATTGGTGGCGGATGGCGGGTGGTGGTGGTGCTGGTGGCGGGTGGGTGGTAGGTGACGGTGGCGGGTGATAGGTGTAGCAGTGGGTGGGTGAAGTGGGTGGGGGTGATGTAGTGGTGGTGGTGGTGGGGAGGTGGTGGTACTGCTGGTAGTGGATGGTGGTGGTGGGTGTGGTGCGGGGTGGGTGGCAGGTGGGTGGTGGTGGGTGCGTGGTGGTGGCGAGTGGTGGATGGTGGTGGTGGCAAGTGGGTGGTGAGTGGTGGTGGGGGTGGTGGCGGAAGACGGTGGTGGAAAATGATGATGGTTGGTGGCTAGTGTTGGGTGGTAAAAAAAAAAAAAACTCAAAACTCAAAACGGAAACACATTTTTTGTGTTTTTATTTTTTAGCCAAATTTATAAACTGAGACCACTAATTTTTAAATCAAAAATTTTACCAAACAAGTTTTTATTTGAGATTTTTAAATTTTTGTAAATATAAATAGAAAACTGAAAACGTAAGTGTTACCAAATGACACCTTATCAAATGCTAATGTTTTAGTTATTGCTCATGTTATGTTAAGCATATCTCTATTGGGCATTGGCTCATCCTATATAGGACATCATTTTCAGGTACAGGTGATAAGCCACCTCCAAGGACGTAGCTTGGAAGGCTTGAGGCTGTTAGACTCTTTTGTTATTTTTGTTGTATTACATGTATATCAACCCACGGGCTTATTTTGTGTAGAGTTAGTACTCTCTTTTTGTGACCAAGTGTTGGCTTGGAAAGTTGTAAGCTCATAGGGCATTTACTTTTGATGTCAACATGTAACACATCTGTAAGAAATACTCTGATGAAATGAAATTATGCTTTACTCTATTATGTCTAAGCATGTCAATATTGTATGATTTATGGGTTTACTTTGAGAGCGTTACATAAGCATTCATATAAAAATCAAAATATAATTATTAATTTCTGTATTTTTTCACATGTCCCATTACAATGTTAAATCTTTCAATTTTCACAATCATATAAATAACATTACAGCTTTTAATAAAAAATTCTTTGAGATAATCTTTGAACTCAATGACCATGTTAGTATCCTTCACAAAAAAAAGGAGGTATATCCTGCGGCACCTTTTAATAAATTTTTATTTCTATCCTTTTTACTTTTTCTTTGTTGAACTTTATGTTTGTTCTGGAAAAAAAAAAACTTTTATTTTCTATTATTTTCTTCTTGCATATTCCTCAATTATTTTATTCTATGGCTATGTTTTTATTCACCAAAGCTTTGCAATATAGTTCGGCCCAAATATTAACAAATTAAGATATTTTATGAATTGATAATTGTGATTAGATCATCATGAATGAACTGTGAAGTTACTGGAAAACATAAATTGGTTTCACAATTTCTGTATTTATAATGCTTATATGCTTATAAGTTTATTTATTTTTTTGTTTTTTTTTTCTGTATTTGAGAATTATTATTTGTATTGAAAAGTTTTTGAAATAATTTAGTCTTTTTAGTTTGTTTATTAGTTATTATTTGGGTTTACCTTGAGGGTAATTTGGGAAAAATAATAGGGTGTAATGAGAGTAAAATAAAATTTTAAATAATTAAATAAGGTATACTTAGAAATTAGGAGTACTTAATGATTTTTTTGATATAAATAGAATCCCCCTTTCTCATGTTAACATTATTTTCCCGATTGTTAAATTGGAATTTGTGATAATTATGGGAGCCTTGACAAAATTATCATGGACCATATTATTTACAAAATTGTGAGAAGAAAAAAGATTCGACAAGATCCATCCATAAACTAAATTAGTGTCTTTCAATCAGTGCTAGGCTTGTACCATGAATTTTGCCCTAGGTGTGAGTCAAGCCCATAAACAAGCAATTATTATAAATTACAAAAATTTAAAAGAAACTCTTGATGAAAAACCACTTTTGATTTCAACATCCAAACACTTATGATTTTTGTTGTTTTGTAATTGTACCTTTAGCCTTAGACTTGTGTTAGGCATTGTTTCTCACCCTAAATGGCCATTTGTGCAACCTATTATGTCGCCATAATATATGTGCAAAAAAAAAATAAAAATCATAGAATTCTATGTTGGATGGACCTTAATGTGGTTCAAATTTTGATCACACCTTAATTTTGTTGTACACTTTTTATGCCCATAACATTATTGTTTATGTTGGATGGACCATTGAGAATTTTCTCCAACTGTCGAAAAAGTCCCCACAAGACTGATTGATAGCAGTTTAGCAAAGTTGACCTAATTTTTAGTCCACTTAATTCATTGCTTGGGATTCATCAAATAATTTCAATTTTTTTTTTTTTTTCCACCATAAACTCTAATCATCTAAAAGCCTAGAACAATAAACCTTATTTTGATATTGGGCCTAAGGCCTCAAAAATATTTGGGCCACTAATGGAGTTTAGGAATGAGTTTCTTTTATACTGTGTTTGGTTGAGTGATTTGAGAAATGATTTAGAAATGGAAAGGGAAAGAGAAAAGATGTGTGAAAATAGGTGAAATATAAGTATATTTCATTTATATTTTGCCTATCTTTTTCCTTTTCCTTTCCAAATCCATTCCCAAATTCCTCAACCAAACACAACATTAATGAAAAGGGTCATTATACTCGAATCCAAAAATTATCACAATACACCTAATTCAACTTTTAAAATTTTAATTCTTATTATATTTTAATGTGAATTTACTAATAAGAACAACACATATTAAGCACTAAATAAAATGTATATATTTTTCTTATGGTACACCCTAATCAATTATAACTAATCTATGACCTGTGCTATACACGAGATAAAATAATATATTATTTTTTCAATAAGATAAATATTATTTACATTTTATCTTCTTTTTTTAAATATTTTACTGCTCATAAATAAAAAATTAAATACGAATTTATGAGTTGTGTATTAATGACTTCCTCTCTCCACCCAAACAAATTTAATCGTTAATCAATACGAGTTTTTAATTTTTTTTGAAAACATAATAATAAACAATTTAGTTTATTAGTTTTCTCTCTTCCAACCCATACATTCATTGTTTTTCCTTTGAAATGTATAAATAATATGTGCAATTTACTAAAATAAAATAAAAAATTACAAATAATTGTATAAAATGTGTTCATTCCATTTGAAAATTAAAAATATTAATTAAAAGAGCACAATTAAATGAAATTTTAAAATTAATAGAACTTAAGAACTTTATAAGGAACAAAATAAAAATATAAGACATTTCTTTTTAAATTTATTGATAAGGATTTCTATTATGAAAATTTTAAGTTACAAATATTTAGGATTGAATGGCCTAAACAATAGATTTTTTTTAAAAAAGTTTTGTAGTTTGAGACTTAAAACTCTAAAAACAATCTTTGTTAAAATTAAAAAAAAAATCATTTACAATACTCTATATATTAAAAGGATTGGATAATCTCATTTTATTTTATTATTTTTTTAAAGTTATAGCATATTGCATTTTTTTTAGTTTTGTAATGGTTAAATAAGTCATATTGTTTAGTAATTTTCTTAGTTTTCTTAACTTTTTTTTAAAACTTCATATAGGAACACTTTTTTAAATATTTTTTTTTATTTAAAGAAAGAAACTGAATGAAATTTTTATTTGTAATTTTAATTTTGAGTAACCCAATTTTTATTTTTTATTTTTAAAAACATAGATTTTGAGAAAAAAAAAATCAACATGATGAATTAAGTCAAGGAGTAAAAGGAATAAGATTTTCTTTTTGGGGTGGGGACTAAACTGTAACAATTTTTAAAATTTTCAGTTTTAGCTTGTTTTATGAAATAAGTTTTTTTTTTCTTTCTTTTTTTTGACTTGTTGATATTTGAAAAATGACAAAATGGTTTTTATAACTAAAAAAACTATAAAAACTAAAAAAATTACTTTAAATACCTTAGGCACATGAGGCCTTAATTACATACTTTGTGGGCTAATTTTCAATGTTCAAAAAATGTACTCATAATTTTATTCATGATTCAAATTGTAATGTGAAGAATTTACTATAGATCAAATTCTAAGTAGTAATATGTAAGTATCAATTTCTACAAAACTCATTACTAAAGCTATTCCAAATTTTAACCCTAAACTACATTCCAAATTAATTTTACATATTTGTAATACTCTTTTCTATGAATAGAGTTTTTCATTAAAAGTAAATGAATAACCTTTTGTTCTTTGAGTGCATCTTCAATGAACAAACAAACAAACAAAAATAAAAATGAAATGTAAAAATGTGAAAATAATACCATTATAAAAATATTAAATTATTCTACACTTATAAACAAATCATACATTCTAACAAAGTTTTATTGAATAAATCATATAATAATGGCATTTGATTGAGCAACACTGTAAATACATTATCCTCTCTGCCGTTTTTTGGTCCGTATGGAAGTTGTGGAATGAATGTTTGTTTAAGGGAGTTCATCCTGATATTCAAGTTTTATGCGAAAAGATTAAAGTGCAGATAGCTTTGTGGTCCAAAATGGCTCTTGAAAGTAGATTATTCAGTGCACGACATTGTATCCAACCTCCACCAGATCAGGTTTGCTGTGTTATTTCTGTTATTGTTTCTTTGACTTTTGGTCTTTCCCATGGTTGGTTTCTTGCCAACTGTTGGGGCGTTGGGGTGTTTCTTGCCAACTGTTGGGTCCTCACTTACTGTTCACTGAGTGGGATCAAGTTGCTACATTTCATCAATCTATGTGCTGTTGTTAGCTCTGTAACTTCCCCTTTATTTATGTATCCTCATACTTTGTATGCTACATTTCATCAATAAAGTTTTCTTTGCTTATCACAAAAAAAATAAAAATAAAAATAAAAAATAAAAAATTATGTTGCTCTTATCCTCTCTTTGTTAATATTTTCTTGTAAGCTTTGTTTCATTTGAATTTATTAATGAAGTTTTTCTTTGCCAATCAAAAAACAAAAAAAAAAGTTTGTAGAGGGTGGGCAGAAAGGAAAGCCCTTACTTGGCCCTAAATAATTTTTTTCGTATATATATAATAATTTTGTCAAATTACCAGTAAAGGGTAATTTCCCCTAATTTTATCACCAAATTGCCTTGGACAGCCATCATTTCTAATCAATGGTACCTCTCTTCAAGTTAAATGACATTTGATGCCCTAAAGCACCCTTTGTTTCATGCACAATAGTTTGTTAATACAGCGGTATAACAGTAATTTCCTTGAGGGGTGGCCAAACAATGGCAGTGAATAATTATAAATGGTGCTATCAAAAAATTATTACAGAAACATGAAAAAAATTATAATTTTGATTATTAATATGTATAAAATTTACCAATTATTTGTAATTTTTTTTTATAAAAAATTAAATTGGATTCAAATTTTCCCTAATTGTAGCAAGACACAAACTTTCCATATATTCAAAAATAATAGTGTAATCTTAATTTAGCAAAAATGATTTATTACTGAGGGTTAATGACCACCCACTAATCTCTCCACCACCATTTATGACCAACCCACTAATCTCTCCACCTCCATTTTTCTACTTTTGTCTGAGAAGAGAAGCTGAGGAGTTACACTCACCTATGAATCTCAGCCGTTGGATGAACCCTCAGATCAACGGTTTCCAACCCTTGTAGTAGCTCCAAACAAGGCTTTTTAATATAATCTCTTTTTGCCCAGCTCTTGTGTCATTACAAGTAGGGAGAAGAAAAAACACAAAAAAACACCTTCCCTAAATCAAAGCAATTCTTAAAGCAATCTTGTTGCTTGAAAACAGTCCTTTTTCTTCTTGTTTTTAGTCTCCTTCAAGCCTCTCTTTCATGGAAGGTGCTGGTGGTGGTGGTTTTGGGTATGTGAATTTACAAAACAACCTTTCTTTATATAGACCTAGTCCTCCATTAACAGCCATAGAGAGGTTCTTGTCAAGCAAGAACAACCATTTCTCTCATAAACAGACTCAAAACAATGTGCACAACCAAGGACTGCTCGTTCCGGCAAGCGTGTACGGTGGTTTTTCTTCTTCTGGTGGTGCAATTGGTGGCTACTCAAGCGACTTTTTGGGGCCAAGTTTTTCGAAGAATAGCTTCATGGATGGGCTTTTCCATGATAGTGAGACTCTTAAATGGACATATGAAATAGATCCTAATATGGGCTTGAGAGAAGATGACAAATCAACAGAGAGGAATTGTAAACGAGTGGCAAAGAGAGCAAAATGTGGCTCTTCTACAACTACTCTGATCAAAGGACAATGGACAGATGAAGAAGATAGGTGATATAATACATAATTTTTAATTTTTACCCTTCTTTTAGTATCATACATCCTAGGGTTTAAATATCTGTCTTCTGATAATGATATATCAATCGATATTGTCTAATATCAGCCCATATATGATAGTATTGCTTATACTAAATCCACATATGTCTACTCTTTACATGAAAGTGCAGCTGATATTGAAGATTTCTATGATTTTGTTTTTGTGAAGGAAACTGCTCAATTTAGTGACGCAACATGGAGTGAGAAAATGGGCTCAGATAGCAGAGAATATGGTTGGCAGGGCCGGAAAACAATGCCGGGAGCGGTGGCACAATCATTTGCGCCCTGATATTAAGGTCTTTTTTCTTCACCCTTTTCCTAATTTGAGATTTTGTCAGAACCACTGAGTGTGGTTTGGTTTCTGTTAAATTTTGCTTTACTTTTTGCAAAACTAATCATAAAACAGTTGTGTTAGATTTCTCATAAAATTCTATGAGAGATATCTAAGAACTGAGATTTGGTTTGGGTTTGTGTGATATTTTTCAAATAGTCAAAAGAGAAAACCCTAGGTTGCCTTATCTGGTTTAATTTCCTATTCTCAACTCTTTTTCTTTTTTTAATTATTTAATTTTATTTCTTAAAAGTTAGAGATATAGGATTTAGATTGCCAAAATTTCATCAAGGTGATTTGTCGGTTCATCTCTTCATGAGTTTTCTTTTAATATTTTATATTTGGTAATTAATGAAAAGTTTCATTCAAAAAGTGGATTAGAGTTTTGTTTTACATGTCATGGCCTTGACATGCAGATCTTATGGTGAGTTTGGTGCTATTCACACCATCTGACATCTCTCCTTCCATTGTTTTTTTAAAATTTTAATCCGCGAAAGTTAGTGACATTTCTTCTTCCATCTAACTATCTAGACTTGTTGGTTCATGTTTAGAATTTTATGATTATTTAAACAAAAATGCTATGAACCTTACTTATCAACTCATAATTTATCACAAATATATATGTGGTGGAGATTAAATTGATGAAATATGAATACACGAGTAAAATGAATTTGAACTATTAGCTTTCTTTTTTGAATAAAATTTGAGTTCATAAGTATAAATTTATAATATTATTGTTATTTGAATATACAAAGCCACGTTATATGTTTACTTGGCAATTAATATAATTCCTTGTGAGACAAAGGCCTGGGGATTGTCTTTCATATGAGCACTTTGACATGCAAAACTTATAGGGTCAGTCCATTGTCTGTTTATACCCTCTCAAATTCCACCTTGCACCCACTCTTTCTCAGTGTTCACTTTCATGTGATTTTGGAACCTTTTCTCCCTCAAAGCATCAATTTTGTTATAAAAAGGTTCACATTTAATGTTTTCATAGATAAGTTCTTATAGTGCTACACAGCAAAATATATATATATATAAATAATGAAGTTATAAATTTTAATTTTATCATTTTAAAGCAAAAAATTCAACTTGACTTATACTTTTAAAAATGCCACTACCATATTATTCTAATCAAGAATTTTGTACAAGAATTTTGTACAAAAATCTTATAAAAATATCACTTTTCTTTACAGCAAAGTGTAATATTGATTTTTCTATATACGTTTCTACGAATTTTTGTCTACAATGCAGATAGCATTATTGAAATTCTTATTAGAGTTTGCTACCTTTTTTGTGTTATTATATTTCATTTTTAATTTTCCCCTATATATATTGCATTGCTTATAATACACAATGTGGCGCCCTTGTTTTTTTTTTTTTATCAGAAAGATACTTGGACTGAAGAAGAAGAGAGCATATTGGTTGAAGCTCATAAGAAAGTCGGCAACAGATGGGCAGAAATTGCCAAGAGAATACCGGGAAGGACCGAAAATTCAATAAAGAATCACTGGAACGCCACTAAAAGAAAGCAAAATTCAAGAAGGAATAACATCAAGAAACCACAAGGCGGCCAGAATTGGAAGTCTCAATCTCAACCCACCATACTCCAAGAATACATCAAAAGCATGAATCCATCTAATACGGCCGCCACCACCACTGGCTCCACCGTCACTGAAGACTTCTCAACCCATTTTGCTCCTCTCGGGGACTTATCTGAGTCCTCCATTGATGACTCTCCACAGTTTATGAACAAAACATTCGACGACGAACTGAACTTCATGATAAATTTCTTCGGTACCAAAAATGACCAGCCTCTGAATGATAAAAACAATTCCAAGGCTTCAATTGAGGCAAAAACAGCTCAAAATAATCATTCGACGAGTGTTTTGCCTTAAATCCGCTCGGATTACTCAACTACACCAATGGTGATGATCATCTGCTTAATGATATGGTTGCTGACACTAACATGTTCATAAATGCCCCAAATAAAGAGCTTCCAATAACCCATTTCTCTTTTTACATTTACCTTTCTTTTCTGTTGGATGGATCATCCAACGCTTTGCCTTCCATGGATAACTACTGTAATATTATTGATAATAACTTCAAGGTGGATTGCTTGACTGGTCAAGCTTCTTTCAGTGGGAAGAAAGATATGGATTTGATGGAGATGGTTGCTTCTTCTCATTAGTTCTCTATGGGTGGCAATGTTATCTTCGTGATCTGAGTAAGTTCTCCTCTCTAGTTCCTTTTTCCTTTTCTTTAATTCTACCGAAAAGGTATGTACCAAAAGCCACTTTGAAAATGAAGTATGGTTTTAAGTATTGTTTGATATGTATTTTATTGGAATAAAAATTACATACGCTGATTTTTTATACTATGAGTTGATAGCCAATGCATTTAGTTTTAGTGGTATAAAATTTCTTTTTTGCAACTATAAGTTCACGTTGATTTTTTTTCTTGAATGATCTACTTAAAATGAATTAAAAATTAAACGATGCAAAAATAGACTTGAGATGGGTCCACAATTTCTGGACTTGAGGAAAATCATGAAATGCGAACTTCATGTGAAGTGAATCACATCGAAAACAAATTTGGTCTACACATTTTATTATCAATTTTTTTTTTTTACACACCTAGTGTTGATAATTTTATATGAAGATTTTTTCTTTTTTGGATCCAGGTTATGTTGGTTTAAAGACTATATGCAAGAAAAATGTACTGTAGAAACTGAATTTAGGTGGCTTGCGGAAAAGTTTTTGCAGGGATACTTTTTATTAGAAATGATAGACTTCAGGAATTCTTAAGTTAAACTCGTTATGTTCTAAAGTGTGAACACTAACACTTTAATGCTTTGACTAAATATATATAATATTTGGTGGGTTATACATATATATATATATACATACACACCATATATTTTAAATATAAATGAGTGTGTTAGTTTTCTCTGTTCATCAGTTGTAATCACTCTTTCATTTAGCGTTTTCTTTTCTTTTTCCTTGGTTTTCTCGTGCTTTTTCCTTCAATTTCTCAACTGCTTTCAACCTTGTGGAGCTTTTGTTTGACTAAAGATTTGTTTCTTTGAGAAAGAAACTGAAGTGAAGCAAATGAAGGCATGAATGGATATGACCTAACAACTGGCCAACTCTCCATGCATTATGCAACGATGCTGGCTCAGTAATCAATGCTTTCAATGCATTTTATAGAGTATATAAATGGAAATTTTAATGACAATAGAAATATGATTAATGCTAATCATAAATTTTTATCACATTTTAAATATCATAAATGTAATGAATTCCATGTAAATTTCATTAATATCTAATGGTTATGATTGTGCCACGAAAAATGATATTTGAAATATTGGCTTATTTTAGAAAGATGGTTAAAAATTAATTTTTTTTGATTTTTTTTTTACTTTTTTTTGAAAAAGCGTGTAAAAAATGTGAGAGATGATACAATTAAAAACAGATTAAAAACTGATATTTGACTTTTTTAACTCTTCCAAAAGAGCCTATTGTCATTGTAGCATTATCTAGAAATATTTATGATTGTTTATACACACACACACACACATATATATATATATATATATTTTAAATCCTGTTGTTTCATAAATTCTTTTAAAAAAGTGATATACAAGTCCACTTTCTAAATCCATATTTTAGAAAAGTGATATACAAGTCCACTTTCTAAATCTATATTTTAGAAAAGTGATATACAAGTCCATTTTCTAAATCCATATTTTAAACCCAATGATGTACAAATGATATGATTAGTTGATGATTAAGGAAAATATGAGAGAGAGTGTTACTTAGATATTATAATTAATTGTCACATCACAAAACTTGAAAAATATGTCTAATTTTTTAACTTTTTTTTTTTTTGATCGGCAAAAAGAACTTTATTGATGGAATAAACAAGTACCAAGTACAGAGCCAATTACATCAATAAAGAAAAAGGGAAATGCAAAAGCATCAGAATGAGCTAAATCATCCCAACGAGATTGGCACCATCTAGCTCAACCTATCATTTGCTAGCACCCCTTTAGTTGGTGAGAGACCAACGAGAAAGAGGACCACCCAACACGATCATTGGCATACACTGAACTAAATACACTCTCAACTACACACCCTAGCATGCTTACACCTCCTCAATCAAATCTTCAAAATCTGGCTACTCAATCCTGAGATCACAGACACCTGGCAGTGACCATGGCTGTTTGATGCTGCCTTCCCACATAGACTTCAAAGAAGGGACACTATGTACTCTCTGGGAACTGGGGCTTGGCTTACTTTCTGCAGAGGCAAGAACATCCATAGAACACCAGCAAGAGCAGAACTAGTGCCAAAGCAGCCCCAAACTGATCAGTCTGCACAAACCATCTGGGCAATCAGATCAGAATGCACCACCCAAAAAGATCAGAATCTGTTTTATCCAGCAGTCCAGTAGCAAGCAAACCAGTAGCAACAGCACAGTAGAGTTAAAGCTCATCCAGCAAACAAACCACCATCTTGTTACATACCAGCAGGGCAACCAGCATCATAACTCCTGTTTTTTGGGCACTACAGCAATCCAGAAGTATACCCAGCAGACCAAATAGAACAAGCCAACTCCTCTGCAATCCAGAAGTATGACAGAGCAGCACTGTTAAGCATAACAGGCCAGAAGTATACCAATGCTTCCCACAACCCATAGCTAGCACAGAGCACACCAGCAGCATAACTCCTGTATTTTGGGCACTACAGCAATCCAGAAGTATACCCAGCAGACCAAATAGAACAAGCCAACTCCTCTGTCATACTTCTGGATCAACTTCAGCCACACAAATCAGAACCAAACTCCCACCAGAGCTCCAGCAACCCAGCAGTGCATCCTCCTACTAACTGCAGAATGAGGATTATTTTAATTTCTTGGGTGATTACAGGGCTGCAGCCAAACAGACACTAAAGCAAAACAGAAACTTCAGCTGGGCATACTTCAGGCTAGAACCAAACCACCTCTACTGATCTGAACCATACTGACCTCAACCTTTTACTGCTTTGACCTCAACCTACTACTGCTTTGAACCTTACTGCCATCTGATCTGGTAGAGGTTGGACACTAAATCATGGACTGAATACTCCACCTTCAAGTGCCATTTGGACCACAAAGCTACCTGCACCTTCACTTCAAAGCAGTAAAAGGTTGAGGTCAGTATGGTTCAGATCAGTAGAGGTGGTTTGGTTCTAGCCTGAAGTATGCCCAGCTGAAGTTTCTGTTTTGCTTTAGTGTCTGTTTGGCTGCAGCCCTGTAATCACCCAAGAAATTAAAATAATCCTCATTCTGCAGTTAGTAGGAGGATGCACTGCTGGGTTGCTGGAGCTCTGGTGGGAGTTTGGTTCTGATTTGTGTGGCTGAAGTTGATCCAGAAGTATGACAGAGGAGTTGGCTTGTTCTATTTGGTCTGCTGGGTATACTTCTGGATTGCTGTAGTGCCCAAAATACAGGAGTTATGCTGCTGGTGTGCTCTGTGCTAGCTATGGGTTGTGGGAAGCATTGGTATACTTCTGGCCTGTTATGCTTAACAGTGCTGCTCTGTCATACTTCTGGATTGTAGAGGAGTTGGCTTGTTCAGTGGAGCTGGCTTGTTCTATTTGGTCTGCTGGGTATACTTCTGGATTGCTGTAGTGCCCAAAAAACAGGAGTTATGATGCTGGTTGCCCTGCTGGTATGTAACAAGATGGTGGTTTGTTTGCTGGATGAGCTTTAACTCACTCCCCTTCCACACACACTGAGTCCAACAAGTTCTTTCTTTGTCTACTGCAAGCCATAATGTGGAAAAACCTAGTGTTCTTATCTCCATTTTGGGCCCAGAGCACCCTGGACTTTTGATGCCACAACCTTGCCTTATCTCTACATAACTTCCACACCAGACTTCTAACTTCTCTTCTACTTCTCATACCTGCATCATCCAGAGACCCAGACTCCGCCTGCAAATCCCACTCATGTAACTCCTCCTCAGCAGACTTTAATAACAATTTTCATTTTTTATTACACTAAGTACCCTAGGCAAAATTAGTACGATTGACAAAAATTTTAAAATCATTTCCGTTTTGTAACTCGAATTTCTTTTGGCCCGTGTGACTCGACTACCCAAAACGACATCGTTTTGTGCAGTGTTTTTTTTTTGGGTCCTTTTCTCTCTGCAGATGAAGAAGAAGTAAGAGAAGGAGGAGGAGGAGGAGGAGAGAAGAGGAAGCTGTATGAGAGAGAGACAGAGAGAGATCATCATCATTATCATCAACAACAACAAACAACACCAAATCAGAGAGATTCATCCTCTGTTTTTTTGAAGATCAAAAATCAAACCCAAAATCCAAAAATTAAACCCAAAAATCAGAGAGATTCAAACCCAAAAATCAAAAATCAAAATTCAAAATCAACACATCATCATCATCATCGACATCAACATATCATCATCATCATCAACACATCATCATCATTATACATAGATCTGTACCCAGGCAGCGCCGGTGATGGCGTCGATGATAGTGGCGCCAGTGGTGCTCCTCTCTCTTTCCCCTCCCTCTTCTCTCTCTCTCTCTCTCTCTCTCTCTCTCTCTCTCTCTCTTCTCTCTTATTTCTTCTTTCTTTTCCTCTATCTATTTCAATGATATAAGAGGAAAAGAAAGAGAAAAAAATAAAATAAAAATAGTACAAAAAACGATGCCGTTTTGGGTATTCGAGCCACTCAAGCCAACTTTTTTTTTCGAGGTACGAAGGATTATTCTTTTAAAATTTCTCCACAGAGCCACATTTCCTCTCTCCATACCACCTACTGCTGCCCCTTTACCTCCATCGCTCTACGACTGCCCTTCCTCTTCTCTTACCCTAGCTTTACCATCCCTTTCTC